GACAGAATTTCTAGAGTTGGGACCCAGGCATCAGCATTTTTTAAAGTTCCCCGGGTGATTCCAACTAGCAGCCAAGCTTGGGAAGCACTGCTGTCTTGACAGTCAATCATGCTGCCTCTTTGGTTCACAGTCGGCTGAGCCCTCTCCACCCTGCACATGGTTTGGCTGCTGGCCGGGCCCGTCCATCTGTTTGGTGGCGGCAGCAGTCACTGCTGCTTCTGTTTTCTCATCATTCTTATCTCTTCATATTCATATGCAATGTTTTTACCCCGATTTAGAGGACTGGAACAAGACTTTTGCAAGATTTTATAACTCGTGGCAGCACAACAAATGCACCTACACTTCCTTATAAGTGCACATGTGTTTGTGTGTATATATAGATATATTCTACCCAGAGTTTAACTTTGCTTTAGCTATTTCTTCGTGCTCAGAAAATTATATGAGCAGACTTTTCAAAAGGAGGTGCGAGTTTAAGTTTGTGATGAATCTTTTCCACCCTCTAGTGGTACTACGGGGGCATGTCAGTTTCCTGCAATAGGTTTATTAGATTCCTAGCGACTTAGTCACCAACGGCATCAAAGGAGACTGACTTTACAGGTCTTTTGTTCTTTGCTGCTGTATTGGCCCCAGTGGTGCAATTTACCCTCATGAAGAAAAGAAGCCAGTGAGTGTGTGCCTTACTCCTCAGCCTTTTGTTGATCCTGCAAGGGCCTGTCCAACAATACCAGTGAGAACAGGCCATTCACTTAGCAGAGGTTTATCGAGTACCTACTCTATGCCAGGCACATGTAAGTAAAAAGATTTATGTCAGATCAAAGTGTCTTTTTAGTTGTTATTTTGTATTACAATATTAAGATCTTAATATTAAGGCAATAGTAGAACATTATGATTAAGAGCTGAACACTGGAGGCAAACTTGTTCATATTCTAATTTCACACCTAGCTGTTTATTTTTTTTTTTTTTTTTTTTTGAGACAGAGTCTCGCTTGTTGCCCAGGCTAGAGTGAGTGCCATGGCGTCAGCCTAGCTCACAGCAACCTCAAACTCCTGGGCTCAAGCAATCCTGCTGCCTCAGCCTCCCGAGTAGCTGGGACTACAGGCATGCGCCACCATGCCTGGCTAATTTTATATATATATTAGTTGGCCAATTAATTTCTTTCTATTTATAGTAGAGACGGGGTCTCGCTCTTGCTCAGGCTGGTTTCGAACTCCTGACCTCAAGCAATCCGCCCGCCTCAGCCTCCCAGAGTGCTAGGATTACAGGCGTGAGCCACCGCGCCCGGCTTGTAAATAAAGTTTTATTGGAACATATCTATACTCACTTGTTTGTTTGTTGTCCTGTGGCTGCTTTCAAGCTACAATGGCAGAGTTGAGTAGTTTCCACAGAGACCCTCTGACCCATAATGCGTTAAATATTTACTACTTGGCCCTTTATAGAAGAAGCCTTCTGCTCCTTGTCTAGACTTTGTGTTGCTCTGGACTCATGCCCAGATATGTTTGCAGAGTCAAGACACAGAATGTTGGGACTAGCTTATGTGAGAACTAAGACATGAAATCAGCTCTCACTCTTCCACCTGCCACCAAAGATGCCCTAGCCCCCAGCTCTCCCCTTCTCCCCTTTATTTTGTAGTTAAGACCCTCAATAGTGTTGCAGCGCTTTTAGAATTTGTCTAGCAGGTCTTCCGGTCCTTACCAGAAGGCCCAAAATTTAAAAAAAAAAATTTAAAAAAAAGACCTTCAATATATGAAATGCAATGGTTTTGGAGAGAAACAAAAATTGAAGAACTGAAAGACTTTTTTAATTCATGGTCCAACAGCTACTTTCAGACATTTCCCTCAACTTTCAGCACCCTCATATTTTTTGTGAAGTCCAGATTTATTGAACTCTGAGCTTCTTTCTTCCCCAAAATAACCAGAAAATGATCTACTCTCTCCTTCTCTTCTCAAAGACTAATTGTGTAGCTTTTTGTTCATGATGCCAGGAAATACACATTGTAAAGCAAAACTAACAGACTACAATGAGACTGGTATATATATCTCACAACTGGGGTAGACTAAGCAGAGGGCCCTTAGAACTTATGATAAAAGGGAAAACAAGCCAGGCATGGTGGTTCACACCTGTAATCCTAGCACTCTGGAAGGCCGAGGCGGGCGGATCGTTTGAGCTCAGGAGTTCCAGACCAGCCTGAGCAAGAGCCAGACCCCATCTCTACTAAAAAAAATAGAAAGAAATTAGCTGAACAACTAAATATATATATATATATAATTAGCCAGGCATGGTAGTGCAAGCCTGTAGTCCCAGCTACTTGGGAGGCTGAGGCAGCAGATTGCTTGAGCCCAGGAGTTTGAGGTTGCTGTAAGCTAGGCTGATGCCAGGGCACTCACTCTAGTAGCCAGGGCAACAGAGAGACTTTGTCTCAAAAAAAAAAAAAAAAAAAAGGCTCTCATCTCTGCCTTTACCTAATTGATAGTCTGGTATGGGGAAACATATTTACATAATAATTACTCAAGTTCTGAAACTTCACAGGTTACTTATTTCACTATTTTTCTCAGTTTTTCGATATATTAGTCTAAGCCCTGATGAAACCTAAATGCTGGTAAACAAATTTGAAACCAAAGCCAAATACTGACAAGTTGAATTAAAATATAGATTTTCTTTACTTTCTGCTGAAGAGTTTTGCTTAAATGTCTTTAAGGAGGAAAAAAATCTATCCTGAATAAAGAAGGGGTTGATAAAGAAAATGTGGTAGCAAGATGGGGTAAGAATATTATGCATAAATGATTCAGTAATGATTAGGATATAATTAATTTGAAGTTAATAACACTATTACAAGGTAGGGTTTGGGCTTCTTAACCTATAAAACAATTTGGATTTCTTGAAATCAGCTATTACTTAGGATAGATAATAGGTATTTTCTTTGTAAACTCTACATTTGTTCCTAATCTATCCACTTTCCACTAAGGGACAATAAATACCGGTTCTTAGAGCCTAGTTGACTGACTCCCAGCCTGGGATCTATGAGTATGATAATGGGAGTCTATGAGCCATTTAATAGTTGAAAAACACTAACGGGTTTTAACATTTACCTGCTATAAGGCTGCTAATTAGAATGTTATGTTTCTTTGTTTTCATCAGGAATTTTATCAAGTCATTGCAGGATTAATCTTAAGTAGATTAGCTATTGATGACATCGTGGAATTTATTGATGAAATATTGTTTTTTTCGGGGTTTTCTTTTAGACAGAGTCTCACTCTATTGCCCAGACTAGAGTGCCATGGCATCAGACTAGCTCACAGCAACCTCAAACTCCTGGGCTCAAGCAATCCTCCTACCTCAGCCTCCTAAGTAGCTGGAACTACAGGCATACACCACCATGCCCGGCTAATTTGTTCTATATACTTTTAGTTGACCAATTAATTTGTTTCTATTTTTAATAGAGATGGGGTCTCACTCTTGCTCAGGGTGGTTTCAAACTCTTGACTTTGAGTGATCCTCTGGCCTTGGCCTCCCAGAGTGCTAGGATTACAGGCGTGAGCCACCTCGCCTGGCAGAAATATTGTTTTAAAATATGGAGTCCACGTTGGAGGAGGCATTGTAATAAGAAATCTCTGGTTGCAAAAAGCTTAGGCACCCAAGCCTAGTGAATAAGAGTGTTATGTTCAAAACGAAAGGAACTTGGCTAGCTAATCCAGCAGTATCCTGCAGAAATAATTTATGAAAATATTCACCAATTTTCATATTAGCATACATTTCTCTAAAGAGAATAAGAGAATTTTGCAAACATATTTGCATCTCAAAAATGCATGTGTTAATAGTTACCTAAAAGACCATTTTACAACCTTTATATTTTTTAAGGGATGCTATCATGAGGTGTTATATCTTGGATTTCTGGGGATCACATGGAAAAGTTAGAATTGCTTTTTGTTTTGTTTTTTCAAAGGAATGAGATTATTGTTATTATTATTTCAGCATATTACGGGGTACAAACGTTTAGGTTACATATATTGCCTTTGCCCCACCCAAGTCAGAGTTTCAAACGTGTCCATCCCCCAGACGATGTGCACCACATCCATTAGGTGTGAATATACCCATCCCCTCCTCCCCTGCCACTAGCCCAAAACCCTACGAATGTTATTACTATATGTGCACTTAAGTGTTGGTCAGTTAAAACCAGTTTGATGGTGAGTACATGTGGTGCTTGTTTTTCCATTCTTGGGATACTTCACTTAGTAGAATGGGCTCCAGCTCTATCCAGGATATTACAAGAGGTAGAGATCCGCATTGTTTTTGGTGGCTGAGTAGAACTCCATGATATACATATACCACATTTTATTACTCCACTTATGTATTGATGGGCACTTGGTTGTTTCCACATCTTTGCAATTGTGACTTTGACTTAATTCAGGATTTCAATGGACATTAAAAAGGCACAACAGGCCGGGCATGGTGGCTCACGCCTGTAATTCTAGCACTCTGGGAGGCCGAGGCGAGAGGATCGCTCAAGGTCAAGAGTTCGAAACGAGCCTGAGCGAGACCCCATCTCTACTAAAAATAGAAAAAAAATTAATTAACTAAAAAATATATATACAAAAAAATTAGCTGCGCATGGTGGCGCATGCCTGTAGTCCCAGCTACATGGCAGGCTGAGGCAGAAGGATTGCTTGAGCCCAGGAGTTTGAGGTTGCTGTGAGCTAGGCTGATGCCACGGCACTCACTCTAGCATGGGCAACAAAGTGAGATTCTGTCTAAATAAAAAAAAAAAAGGCACAACACTTAATATTCAGTTTCTTTTTTAGTGTGTTTTTCTGCTCTTAAGATATGCCTCACGTGAGATGTCCTTAAATTATCCATATAATCTCAAACTTTTGTATTACATTTCTGCAGAAGCCTTAAATAATTTGATATGTGACTTTTCAGTCTCTTATACTTACTAGTAAACTATTTGATAACTTCTTTTATTAAAGTTATGAAGATTAATATGTAATATATTGCTTATACAGAATTATGAAATTTCATGTTGCAAAACGGAAGTTTAAGGAAACATTACGCCCATATGATGTAAAAGATGTCATCGAACAATATTCCGCTGGTCACCTGGACATGTTGTGTAGAATTAAAAGCCTTCAAACACGGTAAGCAATGAAAGTGTTATTCGCTGTGAAGGAATAGGCATAGAAACTATCTAAGAGGAACTTCTGTTTAGTAGAGAAAACCTCTGAATTCTATATCTTTAATTCATTTTTAGTGGGCAACTGGACATTTGCTTTTAACATTGAGTATATCAGGAATTAAAAGCATCCAACTGTCTCCATTTCCTCATCTATGAAAATGAGGAGGATGTTAGTTCTTACCACACAGAGTTCATGAGCATTGAATGAATTAATACATGTGACTCATAACATGTTAACAGGCCTGGAATCAAGTGCCCGATAAATGTTAATGGTTGTTGCTGATGTTTATGTTATTGCTGCCGCTGCTATTGTTTTTGTTATTATCTAAATCCTAACCATCCTTGAGAAATCAGTTAGTCTTTCTCCTTCATGAAGCTTTACCCAACTATCCAGCTCATAAAGACAGACCTTTCTCCACTCTGACCACCTACAGCATTTAGAATCTACTACAGAGCATAATATGAGCACTCAGAATCTTCATTTCCTTCATTTGTGACCTGTACAGTGCTGGACATACACTGTCCTTCCAATAGCACCTTTTTGAGTGATTTTAAAAAATGAGTTCAGCCATTTTTTTAAAGTGTGGCGGTGCACCCCTGCGATCCCAGCTACTCAGGGCGCTAAAGCGGGAGGATTGCTTGAGCCCAGGACCTCAGGCCTGCAGTGAGCTATGATCTTGCCACTGCACTCCAGCCTGGGCAACAAAGTGAGGCCACATCTCTTAAAAAAAAAAATGAGTTTAGTATGTTAATTCCAACTACATATGGTTGATTGTGTTATCTTGAAGCCAAAATATTTAGTCAATTCCATTTTTTGACTCTTGCTTCATTATCAGCACAAATTAGCATTGTGACTGAAAGTTCCTAAAAAGCAAGGACTGAGTTTTCACATTTTTTTATATCCCCACAACACACTTACTCCAGTGTGAGGCATATCCTAAGCCCTTTGTAAAAACACCTCGTCATCCATTACACAGGTCACAGTTTGTTCATACATTAGGCAGATAATTACTGAGCCCATTATGTATGCCAGGAACTGTGGACATCCAGAGATGAATGAAATAATGACCCACTCCTTGTAGAGCTGCTGTGCCCAAACCCTGATATCTATTAGCACAGCAGGAGGTGAGCAGTGGGCCAGAGAAGCTTCATCTCTATTTACAGCCGCACCCCATTGCTCACGCCACTGCCTGAGTTCCGCCTCCCCCTCCCCCACTCTGTGGAAAAATTGTTTTCCCTGAAACCGGTCCCTGGTGCCAAAATGGTTGAGGACTGCTATTGTAGAGCTTGAAACTTAATAGATTAGATATCAAGGCAGAAAGTAGACACTATGTTTCTGTGTAGACAAAGTAAATAGTAAAGTTGAGTCAATACCCCTGAGAATTCAATTCAGGGAAAACACACCAGAAAAAAAAAAAAAAAAAGGAAATTCTCATTTAGGCTGATCAAGTTTCTTGGAAATTGCTATAACTCATCCTGTGGTCATGTTACAATCTCTACCTAGGGGCCATGGTCTTCCAAATATTTTAATGGAACTATCTAAAACAACAGCTCAAAGTTCTGAAGGAAAAAAACTATGGCTCCCAGGTTTTTATAAAGTTGGAACTGTTACAGAATTTATAGAACTAATCTTGAGTCTCTAGCTCATGTATATTCTTCAACTCAAATTCCAAAAGGAAAAGACCGTAGTAGCTTTCTTGTCTGCTCATCTTCCACATATCAGATGTACAATAAATGCTCTTTGAATAATCTATTCTATTAATGCAAAATAATCATAATCTCGATTTTGTCATATTTTGAAGTGGTTGAATTCAGGAACTACCTGATCACAGGCAGAAACAAATTACTTTGTAGTGAAGGAGAGTTTTTCCTCTAGAAGATTCCCCCATAAGTGGTTTCGTCTTGACCAGAATAATGACAAAATTAATGTCATGTGTATTCTCATGTTACCAAAATAAGCACATCAACTGGAACAAGTTCGTCCTTATTTCATCTTTTGTAAATTGAAGATAATTGTATTTAATTTTTTTTCAAAACACTTCCTTCTGGCCTAGGGTAAGCTCCACCTTCAACACTCGTAATCAGATCTCCTCTTTCTCTGACAGTGTTGATCAAATTCTTGGAAAAGGGCAAATCACATCAGATAAGAAGAGCCGAGAAAAAATAATGGCAGAACATGAGACCACAGATGACCTCAGTATGCTCGGCCGGGTGGTCAAGGTTGAAAAACAGGTATAATACAACTACATTGGTTAACTTTCTAGCCAGAATTTTTCAAATCAAAATTGATTATAGGCAATTAGATGTATTATAGCAATTAATATATCTTATTAATAAAATAAATAACATCAAGAAAGAATGAATGAAATTAAATTTCCTTCTCACAATTCTGGAGGCTGGGAAAATAAATAAATACATAAGTAAATTTTCTTTGTGTATAGGCAGTGTTCTCTAACATACCTTTGGATTTCCATATGAGGAATAGAAAATTTCATCTCATCAATTAATACTTAACTGGAAGCAGCTATAGATTTTCAATAGTAAAATAACAAAGATCTATTTTTCATTTGTATTTTGGTTATTTTCATTGTCTCTCTTTTGGTCACTCTTTTTAAAAATAAAACAAAATCTTATTATAATTAAGATGACACATTGAACGTTTAACCCTGAGGCTGTATCCTCTCATACAAAGACAATTTCTGAGAAGTTTAATGACAAATATTTCAAGTATTAGTTCTGAAACATCTTGTACCTTTATTTTTACATTCAGAATCATCTAGATTGATACTTAAGGTCTTGATTTCATGATAGAATAAATTCGTTACTAGACTTCAGTAGAATTCCGGAATGCCTTCATAGAAGAGCTCAGGAAAGGCAATCTGATTGGAATGGGGAGTCTTGAGGTTGCATTTTCATAGTGCTTACATGATTTTTGAGAACATCAATTGTCCATTTTAAAAGAAACAGGAGGGAGAGGTGCCAATGGAGATTATATACAAGCCAAAGCCTCTCTCTACCCCTAAATTCTCCTCCACTGCTAGGTACATTCACTAAGGGTGAAGATTGCCTTGTACTTTAGACTTATTTTGATTTAACTGTATTGGCACACCCTGATTTCACTTCTTAATTCTAGAAGTGAAGTTTATTCTTAATAACAGGTTATAGGCCGGGCGCGGTGGCTCACGCCTGTAATCCTAGCACTCTGGGAGGCCGAGGCGGGCGGATTGCTCGAGGTCAGGAGTTCGAAACCAGCCTGAGCAAGAGCGAGACCCCGTCTCTACGATAAATAGAAAGAAATTAATTGGCCAACTAATATATATATAGAAAAAATGAGCCGGGCATGGTGGCGCATGCCTGTAGTCCCAGCTACATGGGAGGCTGAGGCAGGAGGATTGCTTGAACCCAGGAGATTGAGGTTGCTGTGAGCTAGGCTGATGCCATGGCACTCACTCTAGCCTGGGCAACAAAGCGAGACTATATCTCA